GTAGATCAATATGTCATCAATGAACACAATGACAAATTGATCGAGGTAAGGCCGGAAGATTCTATGCATCAAATCCATGAATGCTGCGGGGGCGTTAGTCAATCCGAACGGCATCACCGTATATTCGAAATGACCATAACGGGTACGGAAAGCAGTCTTAGGAATATCCTCCTCCTTAATTCGCAGCTGATGATATCCCGTGCGAAGATCAATCTTGGAGTAATACTTCGAACCCTTCAACTGATCAAATAAGTCATCAATTCTCGGCAACGGATACTTATTCTTCACGGTAACCCGATTCAACCTTCGATAATTCGTGCACAACCGTAGGGTCTCATCCGTTTTCTTCACAAAGAGGACTGGTAGTCCGTGACCTAGCTGCACGGGGACGTGCAGCCCTGAGGGGGGTGGATTGTGAGATCCTGGTATCCCACATCGGTTACGGAGGGGGGAGTTGCTGGGCTTATAAGTAAGCCTTCAGCCCTTACCTTGCAAGAGGCCTTTTCCCAGGGAACCCCTGGGAGGAACAAAACCCTTGAGGGCAGGGGAGGAGAACGGTGTTCCGTGACCCTGTGCCAAAGAGGACAATATCTTGCTGGGTAGTGGGGGGGGTGTTACAAATGATTGTGAGATCCTGGTATCCCACATCGGTTACGGAGGGGGGAGTTGCTGGGCTTATAAGTAAGCCTTCAGCCCTTACCTTGCAAGAGGCCTTTTCCCAGGGAACCCCTGGGAGGAACAAACCCTTGAGGCAGGGGAGGAGAACGGTGTTCCGTGACCCTGTGCCAAAAAGGACAATATCTTGCTGGGTAGTGGGGGGGTGTTACAAATGGTATCAGAGCCGACCCCTTGGCGGTGCCGAGTGTGGGGCCCTGCACGGGTCAGCGTGTAGGAGGGAGGAGAACGGTAGTCCGTGACCTAGCTACACGGGGACGTGCAGCCCTGAGGGGGGTGGATTGTGAGATCCTAGTATCCCACATCGGTTACGGAAGGGGGAGTTGCTGGGCTTATAAGTAAGCCTTCAGCCCTTACCTTGCAAGAGGCCTTTTCCCAGGGAACCCCTGGGAGGAACAAACCCTTGAGGGCAGGGGAGGAGAACGGTGTTCCGTGACCTGTGCCAAAGAGGACAATATCTTGCTGGGTAGTGGGGGGGTGTTACAAATGGTATCAGAGCCGACCCTTGGCGGTGCCGAGTGTGGGGCCCTGCACGGATCAGCGTGTAGGAGGGAGGAGAACGGTAGTCCGTGACCTAGCTGCACGGGGACGTGCAGCCCTGAGGGGGGTGGATTGTGAGATTCTGGTATCCCACATCGGTTACGGAAGGGGGAGTTGCTGGGCTTATAAGTAAGCCTTCAGCCCTTACCTTGCAAGAGGCCTTTTCCCAGGGAACCCCTGGGAGGAACAAACCCTTGAGGGCAGGGGAGGAGAACGGTGTTCCGTGACCCTGTGCCAAAGAGGACAATATCTTGCTGGGTAGTGGGGGGGGGGGTGTTACAATATTAGTCTTTGATTTTTTTTGTTTGTTAACAATGAAAGTCAAAACAAAAGAAAATGACAAGATTACTAATAAATCAGATTAGTACAAAACAACTAAGGCTAATTATTATTCACAATTTATCCCAACAAATTTTTATACAATGCAAATATTATGAACGTAATGAATATAAGCTACTCAGCGACATTAGCTACAGCTCACCTCAGCCACATTAGCTATGCTAGCTCAACTGACTATAACTAACTTTATGTGTGTTCGGGCTAAAATCCGCACAATCACTGAAAAAGTTGAAGGTGCGCCCCCAATTTTTGAATATCACCCCGTTCATGAGCTGCAAGGTTGAAAAAGGTTAGAGAGACCCCCGACGTTGAACCAGGGGAGGCCCTCCAATACCTAAGTCAGTATTGTGATCAATAACTAGAGCAGACGAGTGTATAAACAAGGAAAATAATATAGGTGTGTGTGTGAAGTATGGAGCCAAGGTGCTCATACTTGAGGCCCCCTCTTCTTTGGGTCTTCACCCATATATATAGAGAGAAAATTAGAGAGTCACTTACTATTATGTACTGTGCAACCGTTAATGCAGGAAACTAGGCATGGACTAGCCTGTCAAAACACTCATTATCTGCCATATATTTATTGTAGTAAGTCCCACTTGTGATATCTGTTAATTCATTTATACTTCTTCCTTGGGAGTGGAGCTGGTGGACCCACGTGACAAATAATGTTTCATCAATTGACCCCCAGCTTTTATTTCCTTTGAATACCCAAAAGGAGATGAAAGCTATGCAGAATACTCACGTCTCAGGAGATAATATCCACAACCCTTTTTTTTGGCGGGGTGCAACTTGAGAGAGATATGCCGAGATCCACTACATGTTGTCAAGCGAGCACGGAGCTCGAATACCATGGACAACAATACATGCACATGCTGAATACACTTGTCATTTATAATAGAATACCGAGATCAATAACCGCGAATCTCAATTACTCAACGAGCAATGAGTGATATCTCATCCTCATCAGTTAGAACAATGCATCTACTTGGTGTCATAGATACCGTCTCCATGATATAGACAGTTCTAAACCCGAGCAATAAAATGAACACATTAGAAACCCATCAACCTGTACAATAACAAAGTGCCTTATTAAGAGGCCAAATCCGAAGGATGAAGATAATTGACTCCTGACCGATACTCTCATAATAGAATCCCGAGAAGGATAATAATAGTTGAACTGTGAATGAGACAATCATGAGGCGCCTTCCAAGGCAAATAGATCTTGATCCAACGAAAAGGGCCTATAACAGATGTCGTTGATCCGTTGAACAGAGACCACATAAGCTAAGTCCTTGAAGACCAACCCAATAGGCCCGAAGAAAGACCGAATAAACCTGGCCCCTGAAGGATCGAATACATAGATTGCTAGAAGAGAGACTGAATATAGAGATCTCAAACGTGTCTCTTGAGGCCGAGCACTAATAAAGTGCCTTGTTGAGGGGACGGAATACCAAATATAACCATCACAAACCACTAGAGAGAGTTGAATCCTAAACAGGACAATCATAATTGGACCTCAACCTCACCCAAAGGAGATAATAATATCTGAACCCCGAAAAAGGGTCACTATAATCGGATATGACGAACGTCAAGCATGAACAAGCCTAAAGAGAACAATAATAGTCGGTCCTCTGAAGAGGGACCAAATAGTCATGACCCTCGAGAAAGATCAGAATAATTTTGTCCTTGTAAGGAAGGCTCAAATACACCGGGTCCTATGAAGAGGGACCAAATAATCTTGGCTCCTTCAGAATGTCCATAAAAGAAGACTCGAACATATCTGTCCCTTGACCTCGACAGTCTCAAGTTTGATGATCAACTGGGCTTTGAGCCTTACCCTTTCTTATCCTGTTCATATAACTGAAATAAATAAAAACGTACCTCAATGAAGCGAGTCTTGAATATATCGAACTCGTAGTTAGGCAATTCAAGGTTCCTTCAGTAAGATTCTTCTTGAGAGGGCCTTTATATTTGACACGAATGTTGACGCTAGGTCAAGCTTTCCCTTGTAACTGTATTGCACTATCTCTGGTCTCACCCAAAGTTTCGTATTACCTCCTTCAACAAGGAGTACTCCCAAGTCCAAGTTGAACTTGTCTCCAAGAGGTTTTATGTCTTTATTAGGACTTTTGATGCTTTGGCCGAGCAAAGGCTTACCCGTGCCTTGGGCCCGGAGCCCATCAAGTGCCTAATCACATAGGGCTTAGGGTATTTTGGTCATGCAAAGACTTACTTGTGTTCGAGGTCTAACCCCGAGTCTCATCTCACCTCCCTAAACAAGTACTCTCGAGTCCAAGTTCTTGAACCTGTCCCGGAGAGGTTTTTGTCTACATTAGGACTTTTGGTGTTTTGACTGAGCAAAGGCTTACCCACGTTCAGGGCTCGGAACCCGCTAGGTGTCCACATGTATGAGAAACTTCTTAGAGAGTTTATCATTATTTCTTCTTGTCTTTGTCGAAAAATGGTGATAATCCGCAAGGAGTGATCACAAAATGACCTCTCGACAAATTTTGGGCAGAGGATCAAACACTTGGGACCAACCATTGGTGCTGATGGATGAGACTGAGCCCCTCGGTATGAAAAACCATCCATACGGCGCCATCAATCACTTGATTGACTTAAATAGCCAGAGAAAATCCTTGAGTCAGAGGGTGAACCACAACCAGCTGCTTGATGTGAAGCTAAAGTAAAGCCGAGACTATGATCTCAGGCTTTCACGCACTGACACCCCTGGCGCGGTTCGCCAATTCTCGGGTTCAAGAAATGGTTCTACCAATCTATGTAACATTTTTCTTTGTGATTACTTGAAGAGAGCTTTGTTCAACTGGTACTGAAGTCAAAAAAGTGCCGCTAGTTGCAGAGAACATTCAAAGGGTGAGACCGAGCAAAGTCTCTCGTACATGGGTGAGGGAAAACACCATTTGATGATGGACCGATCACATAAGAAGTCCCTGTGTGTACCTGCTATGCACGAAGAGACTTCAAGAAACTCCCATAGAGAGGTCGAGGAAGGATAAACCACGGAAGTGATTGGTATGTTTACAGAGTTGTATAAATGCCAAAGAGAGGAATTTTGTTTTGGCTTGACTACATGTCACAGACTTGTTCTTCGAGTTCTCGGAGGATGCTTCATATGAAACCGACATTTGGTGACAAGTGGTCACCCTTTGGTCTTTGATGTTGGATTGACCACTTTCAGGTCTGGAGGTCGAGGTTTCTCGGTGAGGGCTGGACCATCTGAATGCCAAGCATATGGCGCCCAAGTGCTAGATTGTTAGTAATTAATGGGCAGTGAGTCAATTTCTTGTAGCACAGATATGTTGATAGTTTTCTTTGTTGACGTTATGGCTCCAGTCGTCCCAACTATTTTTGAATGGCCGAGTGGAGAGGCCGACCACCCAAGAAGTCGAGGTTCAAGTAATGATGCCTATCGTAGGTGAGTGAGATCATTGGAGCCCTTGGAGAAGCTCGTCGAGCACCTCATGAAAGTTGGCTGTTATCATTGCCTTTGTCGGAGCGAAAGAAGACCCATTTATGATGTATTTAGCTTCAACATAAACTGAAACAATTCTAGGCAAATTCAAATTTTTGAATGCCAAAGGTCTGGGTAACGCCTTGTTCCCCTGCTCGAGTATATCACGCTCTCTAAGATTATGAGAATTCCATTTTAACAGATGTCGAAGCCGAAGGAGTGCTAGGTACGAATGGGCATTCAAGAGAGGAGACCCAGCAAGGCATCTGGTCCAGAGGCAGTATAGTTGGTGATGCCGAGAACTATAGTTGAGGTCGACTACTCGAGAGGCCCTTGTTTCGAGAACATATGGCTTCGGGACATGCCCCCCACTCTGAGCAATCTCCCAATGTGATGAAAAAAATAAAGAGGCTTTCTCTACCGAGATGTTCTCGATGATGCCGAGCACTTTATGGGCCAGTGTAGACTATCCTCCGAGTTGATGATTGTGTTGGCTAGCTCCTTGATGAGAACCCAAAGACACTGCGAACCCCGTCGTTGAGTTGTAATGTGTTTCAAGAGTTGCATTTGCATGGCACCGATAACCCCCGAGAGGGATTCAAGATGACACACCCATTTGTGACTAAGGAAAACCCAGAGAGTTGGTGCGCCGAAGTTGCTGGCCTGCCCGAGAAGTGGGATCGACCACTGTCACTTGTGGGTGATAGGCCGATCATTTTGATGGATTAACTCCCTTATGGTTGATAGGTCAATCGCTTAAGCCACTGAAGTGCCGAAGTAGAGCAATATGGGATCCACGAAAGTCACTAGTTGATGATTGATATCCTTCTTGCGAATATATCAATCACCTTCGGACAGCCGAGAAATATACAATACCATGTCCAAACCACCATTTGGATAATAGACTAAAGGTGTGAGTCCTTGCTGTAGAATATCTTCTTTCATTGAGAGAACTGCTTGTGCTTGTTTAAAGCACACCATAGTTTATAGTTACAAGTGGAGAGCATGTTCGGGCTTAAAGAGGCGAACACAAACGGACTGAGCAAATGGTCTTTAATAGAAGCTAAACTGGTGCTGGGCAAACTAAAATTTTGGGTGTAATGTTTTCAATTGCTCGGGCTTTCTTTTGAGAAAAGAACTGGGTATATACACCAACTTCATTAGAGAAGATAGTCGAGCACTCCCAAGATTGAAGTGAAGCCGAGACTCCGATTGGGATTTCATGGACCACGACAATCGTGGTGTGATTTGCTGGATTTGCCTATGCTTGGCTTCAAGAAATATACTCGCTTGTGTACATATGTTATGTTCACTTTGTGATTGTGCGTGCAAGATCCTGCACAATATAAAAAACGAGAACATATCTCTCCCGTAGTGAACTCGAGTGAGCCAGTTGAGTGACCAAACACGCTGCTTGGAACAGCCTGCAAGGTACGGTGGTAACCTAGAACGGCAATGGGAGATCCTGGGAACGGAAGAACGGTCCAGTAAGGCTGAAAAAGGTTCCTGGAACAAAGAAGAACAAGTTAGAAGGGTGCCGGAGTGTTTTTCGGCGTATCCCCTCCGACGATCTAGTCAGTCTTTGAGAAAGAGAGAGGAAGGAGAAAACACTGAGAATATATTGTAGTAAAGAGTTTTTTGTTGCATACCCGTCTTGCCTTTTGCAAGGAGTATTTATACCTCAAAAGCTCATGATTGCTGTCAGTGTAGTCAGTAGATGATCATTAGGTACAGTCAGTGTGCGCACTGATTCTGATGAGGGATGTCTTCTCTTCTTAACTGCTCGGGGTCCCGAGCAATCAATGCTGGGTCGTCGGGATGCCAACGGTACATTGTACTCCTCTCGGGGAGGATGCAATAAATGCTTTGTAATAGGAGCATTTATTGCCTTTCATTTCCGAGCCTTACCGCATTGAATGCGGTCTCATTAAGGGAATGGTGCAATTAATTGTTTGCTTTCCCAAGTCGCGTGCCAGCAACGGCATGCGTTTTCTCTGTTTCGATGTGATATCATTTGCCACGCGTCCATCTCTTAATGGCTGTGACCCCTGCATTCCAGTACGTTCTGACACTAATTGTGTAAGACGAGGTCATGATGAATAGCCTAGACTAGCCTAAGCTAATGACCTGTACGTCAATAGCTTATCCTGGAGTAGAGGAAGCATCCAGGACGGGGTACCTCTCGGCACCGAGGAAAGGCTCATCTCGGGGACCGAGGGAGGTATGCCGATCGAGGTACATATCAGACCGAGGACACGTGTCTGTTGTAAAACATACTGAATGCATGATCCTATATGACGAGTACCTCGGGGGCGAGGACCTTGGTGCTTGATCTTATCAACAGTGTCTTGGTAATACCGAGGACACGTGTCTTCATCATGGAGTATCTCAGAAAAGTCCCATCAACTGCCCCCCAGCCTTCGATCTTCTGACACCGAAGACACGCGTCGTAAGGAGACGAAGGGTTTCCCAACAACCACCAGTACTTCATCATTGCCTCGAGCCGCTTTCCCCGGCTTGGGATGTCGTGCGCATTAAATGCGCCGTTTCGTTTTTCGCGCCCAATGATGAAAATTGCCTCTATATAAAAGGGGCTCCTCTTCTGTTTTCCTCGTTTTGCCATTTCGAACTTCCTCAAGAGAGCCTCTTCTTGAATTTTCGCCGGAGTTTTGTTTCTTCTTCCATCGTCGACTGCCCATTCTTCCTTAAAATCTTAAAACCAGCAAACCCATCGTTGATTCTGAACTTTCCGGAGGGAGTCGCTTTAAGGTTTTCCAGAAAAAACTCCGTTTTGACATTCGGGTGAGTTTCAGAATCCTCTTTCTTTTCTTCCTCCTAGCCTTTTGTTTTCCAATTGACTGGAGGTGTCTACGATTGATACATAGCGAATTAACCCTCGGGAAACTTCCTCAGGGATTTTCAAGAACAAATACCCTCTTCTTTCTTACTTTTTTAGAGATGCCTCGTCGTCGCCCTGCTCCCGAGAATCCTCAGGCTGGTCCTTCGGGGTCGGGGAAATATAAAGTAAAGGGTGGTGAGCAGATTGATAGGTTTAAGGTCAAGTACGACATTCCCCCGTGCGTAGACTTAGAGGATTATGACCCTGTGTTGCACTCTTCTACCCTCGGGGCCGAGGATGCCATGCCCTTTTATACCAAGGCCATAATAGAGGGAGGAATTAGGTTTCCTTTACCCCCCTTACTTCTTCAGTTCCTTTCTCACTTCCGCCTCTTCCCCGGGCAATGTTGCCTTAATGTTTTCCGAATAATTATGGGGGTCTTAGAGCTCAATAGGCGCCTCGGGGTAAATATTGGGCTCAACGATCTCCTTTTTTGTTATTCCCTCCTGAGAGTCATGTCTCACCAACACTTCTACCTCAAAGCCAGGGACCCCTCCATGTACCTTGTAACTCATCTTCCTGACTCGGACAAGGGGTACAAGGATGATATTCTTATCTTCAAGGGATCTTGGCAGAGAGGTGTTGGTCCCGAGTATAATGACTTGTTATGCCCTCTGGAATGGAGAACGACAAGTACGTCGGTTCCTTTGGGTTTATTATTTCTTTCTCCGACTTCTCATGTTCATGACTATTTTGTTTGTGCAGATATTCCTGCTCGGGAAACAGCTCCTCCCCCTCGGTCGCTGGTGAACTTTGCCGACCTAATCACGGTTTGGAGATTCACGGGTGACAACGGGTTTGGCCGTGCTGCTCACATCCTGCTGAATTATACCCCCGGGTATAAGAAATTTTCACAGCTTCCTCAGCCTTTTGAGCCTTCGCGGTGGTCTGAACTCTTCGATCAGGCGGCGAGGCTAGAGGTTGAGGAAAACTTGGAGGAAGACCCGGATCGGGCTTCGGAGGCAGAGGTAGAGGGAGTTGCTGAAGAGCTCGGGGTCAGAGAGGACGCTGTTCCTTCGGACGCCGAGGTGGGGACTTCGGGAGGAGACTTGTGGCCAGACTTCCAAGTTCTTCAATCCTTAGACGCCGAGGACGCCCTCGAGGTAGCGATGTCCAGCACCCCTCGCATTGATTTGGGGTTCCTGAGGCAGAGGCAAGCCCTCGCAGCCGGGAGGGGTCGAGGATCGACCGGCGGCACCCCCTCTGCAGGGACCAGTTCCACCCCATCCTCAAGGGTTCTCGGTCGGGGTCAGGTGCGAGACCGGGATCCTCAAGTGGAGGAGGAGAGAAGGGTCAAACATCGGCACGATGGCCTCGGCCGAGGATCCAGGGCACCTTCCGCTCAGCAGCAAAGCGGGAGAGGCCGTGGGTTACCCCCTGCTCCTCCACAACAGCAGCAGCAGCAACAGCCACGACAACAGCAACAACAGCAGCAGCAGACTCCCCCTTCCCTTCCGCCGACAGTGGAAGCCGCGGAGTGGAATCCCCGAGCGACCGATCACATGAACCGAGTGATCAGGGTCGATGATTCCATTTTGCTGGATCCTCATGTCGCCAATGCAGTGAGTGAGACACTGCATTTCGAGGCTGACATGGCGGCTCATAGGGGGCGATCAACCAACGTGTTGTTCCGCTCCATCATCCAGAATTCCCTGGTGGTGAGTTCATTTTTGCTTTGGTTCCTTCTCTCTCGCTTTCCATTTTTGTGATAACACTTTTTTCCCTCCTTTGCAGGCTACCCAGCAGATCTCCATAATAGCTGCTCGGTACCATGGGTCTAGGATGGACCTCCAGCGGGCCCGAGAACAGAAGGAGGAGGCGGAGGGGGCCCTCGCCCGAGCAATGGAGGATGTAGCTGCCAGGGACTCTACCCTGGCGGGGCAGGCTGCTCAAATCGAGCAACTCCTCAAGGACGCCGAGTCGGCTAAGGTTGGCGCTGAAAAGCTAAGTGCTGCCCTTGCCGATGCTGAGGGGAGGATAACCGAGCAGACGCGGCGGCTTTCTGCTGCGGAGGAGAGGGCGGTAGGCTCAGAGGAAAGCTGTCTGGCTCTTACCCAGGAGCTGGACCGGATCAGAGCCGAGGCACTGAACAGAAAATCGGAGGAGCAACTTCGGAAAGAGTTTGCCGATGACGTGCTCCCTGCTCTTGAAGAAAACAGCAAGGAGTTCTTCAAGAAAGGGTGGGACGAGGCGCTCCAGTCTGCTGGAATCCCCTCAGACTCCCCGCTCTTCCAAATGCACAAGTATGTGCCCTCGGCAGAGATGGCACGGGCCGAAGCAGAGGTTGCTGCCGAGGATGAGGTCCCAACACCGGTGCAAGTGTCGGCGGATCCGCCCGAGGCAGTGATCGTGGATTTGTCCGAGGACGCCCCGTCGGACCATGCTCCTGGTCCTCAAGTTGCCCAAGTTCTCCCTGTTGCCGAAGTACCTCTCCTGCCTGCTCCAGAAGCTTCTCAACCATTTTTTGCTGACTCGCCCTCGGCTGATGTTCTGGAGATGCCTGGAGCCAGATGATAGCCCCTTTTTCTTTTTGATTGTACCCCTTTTTTTTCTTTTGTAGCCTTTGGGGACGCAAAGCCCCTTCTTCTTGAAATGAAATAAATCATGAGTACTTTTTTCTTTTTCTGCGTACAGTAATTTTTTTTTTTTTTTGAACTGTCTTCGGGGCTGCTCGCCCATTCAAGAAGCATGCTCTTGTGTCTGCTTCGGGGACAGGA